TAATAAGTTAGTTAAGGAAAAATTAAGATTAACGGACTGGTCACAATTTTTGTCTATATATTATGCCCAATATTGTTATATGAATCAATATGTTCTACATTCTTTAAGATTTATGAGGATAGTAAAATTAAAATAACTTTTAAGAATAACAGAATTAGTCAGCCATGGGTTAATAAAGAAATATATGATAAATTATTAAAGCGTGATATGCTATTTCGGGAGTGGAAAGCATTGCCTAACAATATGACCAAAGGTTAGAGTACACTTCATTTAGGAATAAGGTGAATAAATAAATTAATAGTGCTACGAATAGGTATAGACAAAATAAAATAAATAATTGTAACGGGGATTTTAGAAAAATATGGGAAAATATCAATACGTGCATAGGATGCTCTAAGCCTAATCTAGATAACGTTATCTGGAAATATCTCGGTAAAAGGGATAATATATACAATATATGTAGTGAATTTTCAAAAACCTTCACTAAAGAAATAGAATGCATAAAACATAGATGTAACACTAATTTCCTAAATAGAAATAGTCATATTAAATCGAGCGAAGTATCTTTCAGGTTTGTAAAAGTAAACTCGTAGGAAATAAAAGAAATTATAAATAAGTTGTCAGGACGAAAGTCACCAGGTATAGATAAAATTAAAGTTAAAGATTTGAAGTATATAAAAATTGAAATAAGCCCAATTTTAGCAAAATTTGTCAATTTATGTTTAAAAAAAAAGTATTTATCCAGATGAATTAAAAAGTCCATAATAAGACCTATTTATAAAGGTGGTAGCCATTATGAATACACAAATTGCAGGCCAATTGCTATTCTTCCAGTAATAAATAAAATTGTAGAAAAGGTAGTCATACAAAGAGTGAGTAGATTCTTAGAGAAATTTAACATTATTACTGATTGTAAACATGGTTTTAGGAGAGGACGGAGTACTAGTACAACGTTAACTAAGTTTTCGGAAGCAATTAACTACAGTCTTAACAATGGTAAACAGGTTGTGGCTCTTTTTGTAGACTATAAGTAGGCATTTGATACTCTGCACCATGAGGTACTTCTGAGGGCTATGGAGGAATGTGGAATTCGGGGCCCTGTAAATGAATGGTTCCGTAATTATTTATCAAATTAGACTATTCTCACTATGGTGAGTGGGACGACTGGCGCAGAAGAACACATCTCTCTCGGTGTACAAACCGGTTCTGTGTACGGCCCCGTAGGGTACATTATACTGGTGAACAGTGTGGTTAATGTAGTGCATTACTGCGATACCAACATGTACGCCCATGACATGTGCCTATTGTATGCTTCCAAAAACTTACATGAAGCTTGCGATAAAATACAGGAAGACTTTTATCGGATTACCCAATGGGCACATGATAACGGCATAATATTGAACTCGAAAAAACAAAAAGGCATGACTATGAGTGAAAATTATCATGTCACACGGGAAAATTATCATGTCAATGTGCCAAAATAGAATTTCTTAATTGTTGATTAAAACTACTTTTACGGATTTTATCGCGTTTATTTTACTATTATTTTTAATTCCCGACGTTTCGGGTGCTTTCCAGCACCCATGGTCACGGGGGACTGAGATGACTGACGTCCAGATGTCATTGTTAAACCCAGAGTACCTTTAGCTTTTTTTAAGTATTTTTTATGGTCCGATCTATGCAAAATGAACTCATTTTGCGTAGATCGATCATGTGTAGTGTTCGCGTAAATATAAGAAATCATTCTTAATAGTTATAAATATTTAGGATTGTTGGTAGACAGTAGTTTTAATTGGAAATTACACATTGAAGAAGTATGTTCAAAATTAACGTCCATTTTAGGCATATTCTATCAAATTAGAAAAGTGGTAAGTAAACATGTTATATTACTTGGCATGGTTTACTATGCATTAATTGAATCTTTAATTAACTCTGGTCTTATTGTGTACGGCCGTACATTTAGTACTTATATAAAACAAGTAAAAAATCCTACAAATACGTATTATAAAATTTTTAATTAATTCAAAAGATAAGGAAAGCTGTAAAAACAATATGAAAAATTATTTCCCATGTGTAAAATACTCCCTGTTGAATCACGGTTAAAATATTTAATAGCAATTGAACATTACAATACTGACGACTATAAAGTACCTATTATTAACACCTACAACACGCGTAAGGTAAGGGAAAAAAAACTTGAAGAGTCTAGTGCAAATAACTATTATGGACAGCCTTTGAATAAATACATTGTATCCAGAATTTATAACAATATAAAATGGTTAAGAGAAACACCTCCAACTAAAAATAAAAATAAATTAAGCAAAAGCGTATTAAAATCGTCTCTGAAAAGGACATTATTAACAGAGCTATAACACATACATTGTTGCATACTTTTGTTAATCGTCTTTTTATGTTTGATTTATTATTATTTATTTATTATTTGTTTATTACTGTTGTTGTTTATTTTTTAGTTTAATAATTTCTAAATATTGTGAAATTGTAGTAAGGTAAGGTTATATTTTCTTTTTCTCTTTTTTTTTTGTAATGAATTGCGTTTTTGTAGGTGATGGTGCATAATGATATATAATTTTATAAGCGTGTACTCGCCGACAAACTAATTGCAGTTTGGCAAGAGAATAGTAAAAATAACTTACTTGTTGGGTCATGCCTGTCCTCATGTATACCTTTGGCATACCCAGGTGGAGTCAGACTGAACTTACCGCCCTGGATAGAAAAGTCCGCACTAAAATGACGTCCCATAGGATGCATCATCCGAGATCGTCGGTAATGACGCTGTACTTGCCGCGAAAGCATGGTGGGCGTGGCTTCTTGAGCGCGCTCACCATGCATAATCGCTAAGTTCGCAGCCTCGGTCATTACTTCCTGGCGAGATCGGATGATCCATTCTATAATGACGTCATTTCTAGTGATAAAGGACTTACCCCTCTATCCTTAGCCAACGAGCAATGGCAAGACCCGGCAGTACAAAGCATTTCCGACAGGGAGACCGTATGGAAGGAGTAGGAGTCGGGGTACTACAGGGCTCTACATGAGCCCCACCTAGATACAGCCGCCTCCGTCTACTGGCTACGTTTCGATGACCTCTTCGGGGAAACCGAGGGATTTCTCTATGCCATACAGGATCAGGTTATTAAGACTAACAACTATCGGAGATACATCCTATAGGATGGCACTGTCGACGTCTGTCGAGCTTGTCGCCATCCAGGTGAGTCACTAAGGCGTGTCATCTCTGGTTGTTCGGCGCTTTCTAACTCTGAGTACTTGCACAGGCACAGCTCGCTCTGAAATACGGTCTTGTGGACCGAAAATTGCCGTATTACAAGTACTTGCTCGAAAATAACCGCGCCAGGCTCTACTGGGACCGGGCCAGAGACAGGACTATTCTTGCGAATAAACCTGATATAGTGCTGATGGACCGGTCAGAGTCAAGGATATTTTTGGTCGACATAACCATTCCGTATGACGAGAACCTCGTGAAAGCCGAAACAGATAAACGAAAAAAATATCTAGACCTGGTTCACGAGGTGACCGATATGTGGGGTGGTATGCCAGCCGAAATTATTCCTGTAGTCGTCTCTGCGAATGGGCTAATTCCAGTCAGCCTCTCGGGTCATCTGAAGCGACTGGGACTCCGTGACGTACCGCTCCGGGCTCAAATGCAGAAGGTGGTGCTCCTCGATACCACCCGTATCGTCCGCCGGTTTCTTTCCCTTTCCCCTAAACCTCGGCCGTTTGGTCTCTCCTGCCGAGGGCCTCAATCTGGTTTGGCTTTTATTTATTTAGGTATTTTTATATTTATTTTATGTAATTGATATTTATGTATATTTATCTTTTCATTTTCATTTATTTTCATATATATTTATAGAACCTAACCAGATGAGAAAACTATATTGATACCTCCCAATAATAATAAAAAGGCGTAGGGAAGTGACGACCACATCGCCCACTGACGTAACAGTTATGTGACAAAACTGCTGCGTCGGCGCAGTCAGTCAGCGCCCTGCCAAGAGGTGTAAGTACTGTGCCTAGGCAAAATTATGGGTGCAAAGGTCCGTTTGTGCATATGACCGAACCACGAAACGCTACCGGGCTTGGGCGTCTCCCGTTATTTGGCACCCATAAAATGGGGTCGACGTGGCGCGTCTGGAGCTGGCGCTGGACGCGGCAGCATGTGGGCCGCCAGCCGAGCGTGAGGAGCTGCACGGTCACCTAGCAGCCCTCCGCATCCATCATCCCCACCAGAAGGCTTGGTGTTGGCTGGGTCTTCTCGGACTCAGCAAGCGGCACCCGCCGCTGGTGGACGCACTGCGGGCGTACTTTAGGGCAAAAGGGGAAGAAACTGGATGTTTGGCGTATCGGGCTAGGATGCGCCGTCTTTTTGCTGAGCTGGAGCCATCTTTAACCGTCACAGAGCTAAACCTGGCAGACCGAGTTCGGTATATCTTGCGCTCAAATATATTTGATATCGCCGAACTAGAACGGCTACGACGTGAGGCTGTTCCCTCATCGGAAGAAAATGCTACAGCTGAGGATGCGGCGTCACAAATTGTAGAGCAACCGGCAAACGTGGATGCCACCGTGAATACCTCAGTTGTGGTTAATTCAAACGATGATGGAACAGTTGCCCAGGAACGAAATAAGACATAGAGGCGGCTGTGGAAACGCGCAGTATGCCTCTCGAAAATCGACCGCGACTTCTCCGCATAGCCCTAAGCAAGCGGAATCGGGCTGTCTTGAGGGCTCTGAACCCAATGCGGGTGACCTATTCGGAAGCCAGCCGGGACTTTTGCGAGACGAACTCAATTCTTTTTGGCACCGCACTGGCAGTATGCCGTATTATAGGCGCCAAACTTTCCACGGCTGGACGCGCTACTTGACAAAGTAGCGCCATCGCAGCCTGGAGAATAAGAATTGAGGAACGTATCGCAGAGGCTAGGACCCTCATCGGCAGACTGATTTGCCTCAGGTCAGTCAATAACATGCCAATGATTGTGCGCACCGTCAGGATGGCATTTGCTGGAACAAAAGTTAGTTTGTCCCAGCCGGATATAATGCAAAAACTGACGGAGCGCATAGACGACCTGAAGCAGAGAATTGCTGCTTGGGAAAAGTGGATTCAGCGATATACCGAGAGGTCGACACGGTTCAACCAGAATCGTCTCTTCCAGAGTGATCAGAAAAGGCTCTATAAATCATTGGAGCGACCAATGGTAAGTTGAACGGGCCCAGCACCGAATCAGGCCGACACTGTCGCATTCTGGCGCGGCCTGTGGTCAGAGCCCGTAAACCACAGCGAGGGCCCTTGGACAAAAGTTGTGGCGAGTCTGTGTGCGAGTGTTACGCCCATGGATCCCGTCATAATAACGCCGGCTGACGTAGCTGAGGCGGTCCGTAGAGCCCCGAACTGGAAAAGTCCGGGACTCGATGGGCTGCATCACTACTGGCTGAAGGGATTCATGGTGTGTCACGCTGTGCTCACCTGTCAGTTTCAAGAGGCGCTCAACCAGAAGTCACTCCCTAGCCTCTTCACTACTGGGATCACTCAATTGGTTCCTAAAGACCAGGTTACCACAGACCCGAGCAAATACCGCCCCATCACGTGTCTACCGACCATATACAAGATACTAACATCCATTTTGAGCGCGAGAATTATTCGTCACCTGGACTCAAATCAGGTGATGTTGCGTGCTCAAAATGGATGTCGGGGTGATGGCCGTGGAACCAAGGAACCACTTTGCATTGACGCGGTCATTAGCAAAGTGGTGAAACGCAACCGTCGGAACTTCTGCGCCGCCTGGATAGACTACAGAAAAGCATTCGACTCGGTTCCCCATACATGGCTAAAGAGGGTCCTTGAGCTGCACAAAATTGACTTTACAGTTAGAGACTTCCTCGTGCAATGTATGGGGCAGTGGAGTATGATCCTTTGTCATTTGGGTAAGCGGATGACGGCTGCGGAAAGCCGCATAAGGATAAGAAGGGGTATTTTCCAGGGCGATTTTCTGAGTCCAATCTGGTTCTGCCTCTCTTTGAACTTCTCAGTACTTCTCAGAACTAGAGGGCTCCGGGAGGGGATTTCAGCTTCGCAAAGGAGGTACAAAAGTGGGCCACCTTTTCTATATGGATGACATCAAGTTATTCGCCTCCAGTCGCTCCCATCTTATGGAATTGCTAAACATCACTTGTTAATTTAGCAGTTCTATTGGAATGGAGCTAGGAAACGGATAAGTGTGTGGTCCTCCATGTTGAAAGGGGAAAGGTTGCTCTGAGGGCATAGACTTATCTATGCCCGTCAACTTGAGGACCCTTTCCGAGGCTGAAACATACCGATACCTGGGTATGTCACAGAACATCGGTATCAATGAAACTGGTATGAAACAGTGTGTTTTATGCACTGTTGAACAAAGTGCTTAACAGCCTTTTATCCGGTGTGAATAAGATACAAGCACATAATAGTTGGGTCATGCCTGTACTCATGTATACCTTTGGCATACTTAGGTGGACTCAGACGGAATTTAACGCCCTGGATAGAAAAGTCCGCACTACTATGACATCCCATAGGATGCATCTCCCGAGATCTTCAATTAAGAGGCTGTACTTGCCGCGGAAATATGGTGAGCGTCGCTTATTAAGCGTGCTTACCATACATAATCGCGAAGTGTAGCCTCCGTAATTACTTTCTGACGAGATCGGATGATCTATTCTATAGGGACGTCATTTTTTGTGATAAAGGGCTTACCCCCTCTATCCTTGGCCAACAAGCAATGGCAAGAACTGGCAGTACAGAGCATTTCCGACCGGGAGACCGTATGGAAGGAGAAGGAGCTCCACGGGAGGTACTACAGGGCTCTACATGAGCCCCACGTATTTACAGCCGCCTCTGTCTACTGGCTACGTTTCGATGACCTCTTTGGGTAAACCGAGAGATTTGTCTGTGCAATACAGGATCAGGTTATTAAGACCAACAACTATTGGAGATACATCCTAAAGGATGGCACTGTCGACGTTTGTCGAGCTTGTCGCCATCCCGGTGAGTCACTTAGGCATGTCATCTCCGGTTGTTCGGCGCTTTCTGACTCTGAGTACTTGCACAGGCACAACCAACTAGCCAGAATTCTACACCAGGAGCTCACTCTGAAATACGGCCTCGTGGACCGGAAACTGCCGTATTACAAGTACTTGCCGGAAGCCGTGCTCGAAAATGACCGCGTCAGGCTCTACTGGGACCAGGCCATCATCACAGACAGGACTATTCTTGCGAATAAGCCTGATATTGTGCTGATGGACCGGGCAAAGTCAAGGATATCTTTGGTCGGCATTACCATTTCGTATGACGAGAACCTCGTGAAAGCCGAAACAGATAAGCGAACAAAATATCTGGACCTGGGTCACGAGGTGACTGACATGTGGGGTGGGGTGTCGTCCGAAATTATACCTGTAGTCTTTTCTGTAAACGGGCTGATCCCAGTCAGCCTCTCGGGTCTTCTGAGGCGACTGGGACTCCGTGACGGACTGCTCCAGGCTCAAATGCAGAAGGCGGTGCTCCTCGATACCGCCCGCATTGTCCGCCGGTTTTTTCTTTCCCTTTTCCCCCTAACCCTCGGCCGTTTGGTCTCCCCTGCCGAGGGCCTCCATCTGGTTGGGCTTTTATTTATTTATGTATTTTTATATATTTATTTCATTTTATCGTTATTTATGCATATTTATCATTTTCGTTCGCAATTATATATTTATGGAACCCAACCAGATGAGAAAATTATATAGATACCCCATAATAATAATTTTTGACATACTTTGGCTTTTTACATAATGTCGACCTTTGACTTTTTACATATTAAAATGTCATAATAGAATTTGCATTTTTCTGCTTAATTGTACATGCGCAGTGGACGCTAATTAATATCTCGATTCGTGACGCGACCTATACAATACAATCCATTCGTGCCATAGCCATATTATGATAAAGCATGGTTGTACCACTTTTATACGTAGAGCTGTTGTATTGAAATTTTATCTTTTTTAAGTCAGTAAAAATTTAACTCATAAAAGTAAAACTAATTTCAAAGAAATGAAAAGAATATAATAAATTTCACACAAAAGCTTTTAATGTATGTACTCGGAGAGTGAACAGAAGAATTAAAGCTCCGACTTAAGAATATGAAATTATTTTATTCTCTTTTATTTTATTGACTTTTACTTTTATGTTAAAAGTTTAATTTGACCTTTTCCAGTGGACTGAGGAATATCACAAGTTTAAGGTAACGACTAGAATGTCGTCAAAACAGTTTCATTAAAACATTCATCCTTTGAATTTTTCCTTTGAGTGAATATTCCTCTTTATTCTTTTATTCTTAAAGAATAAATGGTTAATATTAACCACTGGAAATGAGGTGATGACTACCATATTGTTTCTAAATGTTTTCATCATAATTGTTTAAAATTTTACATTATTAATTAATGTTTAAAAATGGTTTTTTCCAGGACAGAGGTATTTTCCGAACTATTGGTAAATCTTAAATGACTTCCAATAAGTATTCTTGTATCCTATATTGAAAAAAAAAATGATTCTATTATGTTCTTCCTTCTATCCTTCCCCTTGGCTGTTCAACCTATTTATGGACAGGTGTTTGCAAACTTTGAAAGATGAAGAATGTGGGTTAAGAATGGGCGAGTTAACCGTCAAATGCCTTTTGTATGCCGATGATCAAGTCATATTTGCGTCATCGGCGGCTGAGTTGCAAATGATGGTTACATTAATGAACTGGGAATTAAAAGAAAGGGGAATGAAAGAGAACGCAAGTAAGACGAAAGTGATGGTTTTTGAAAGAGAAGAAAGCAAAACGGTATGTGAAATAAGAATAGAAGGAGAGTTAATTGAGCAAGTGGATGAGTTTTTGTATTTGGGATGTGTATTTAGCAGGGATGGTAGATATGATAGGGGATATAGAACGACGAGTAAATGCAGGGAATAGAGTGAATGGGGCACTACACTCTATTATGAAGAACCAGAATGTGTCAAAAAAGGCACGTATGGTAATTCATAATGTTGTGTTATTCCCTACTTTAATGTATGGTAGTGAAAGCTGGGTGTGGCAGAAGAAGCACGAAAGTAGAATAAATGCTGTAGAAATACGGTCTTTAAAGAATATACTAGGGTTGAATTTGAATGACAGGGTGAGAAATAGCGTGATAAGAGATAAATGTGGTATGCAAGATGATGTTGCGACCAGGATTAAGAAAGGAATGCTTCGGTGGTTTGGTCATGTAGAAAGAATGAATGAGGAAAGAGTGACAGCAAATTTATATGGCAGATGTGAACGGCCGAGTCGGGAAGGGACGCCCTAGAAAAAAGTTTGTCGACCAAATTGGCGATATTTTGAAAATGGGCCACGTTAGAAGTACCCTTAACCGACGAGCATGTATGCGTAGATATATGGATGTAAAGGAGGCGAAAGAGGTATGTCAGGATCGTGCCAAATGGAAGTCCGTAGTCTCTGCTTACTCCTCTGGGTGACAGGCGTGAGCGTTTATATATATTTTATTTATATATATCTTCCTTCAATGTTATATGAGGTCACGCCTAAAATGTTATCTTTAAATAAAAATATTCACCAAAATCGGTTCACAAGTGACATAGATATCGTGTACAAAAACCAATACAATCGAATTCAGAACTCCATTTTTCAGGTCAGCTAAATGAACCTAATTACATTACTACATTGTTTCATCCAGCTTTTATCATTTGAATCCTTAACAGTTCTTATAAAGAAGCAATATAAGAGAAAGCTGCTTTGTCTCGTACCAACCAACCTTTAAGTAGAAATCATTTTAGTACAGTAACTTAAAGCAAAGTGGGTCGACGGTTCAGTAGCACAGTGACAGTGCGTTTGATTTCTTCGCTTCGGGGTCTTCAAGTTCGAATCTGGCATCGAACAATTGTTTGTACAACCTATTTCAAACAATCATTATGATATTTGTC